CCGGATTCCCACATCAAACGCATCGGAATGCTCTTCCAGCGCCAGTTCCGCGTACGCACCACCGTCCTGTGGACACTCTGGTTCGGTATCTCCATGTCTTACTACGCCATCTTCATCTACCTACCCACGCTGATCTCTCTCAAGGGCTACAACATGAACGGCCAATGGGAAACGATCCTTATCATCACGGCGTTCCAACTGCCCGGCTACTTCGCTGCTGCGGGTCTAGTGGAGATCATCGGTCGTAAACAGACCCTCGTACTCTTCCTGGCGGGCTCCTTCGCGTCTGCTATTGCTATGGGATATGTCGATGCGTCCAAGGTTCCGGTCATGATCACGGGATCGTTCACGTCCTTCTTCATGCTCGGCGCCTGGGGCTGCGTCTACGCATACACCCCAGAGAATTACCCGACGGCCATTCGAGGCATGGGTGCTGCCTATCCGTCCGGCTTTAGCCGCATCGGCTCGTTCAGTGGCCCGTACCTCTGCGCCTCCATGTTCGGAGACTGGAATGTGTCTCTCGAAGCCATTATGTGGGTGTTCGGCGGACTGCTGATGATCATTTCGGGCATTGTCCTTGTGTTCGGCTACGAACCGCGTGGTAAGGACGTCGAGCTGTACGAAGACGACAATCACACGGAGAAATCCCTCGCCTTCGAGGCCGTACAAACGCCAAAGTAAAGGGTGCGTTACCACTAACCGCTGGTTGAAAGCGGTATGTCTGCATTAGTTAAGTTTAATACATGCTACTCATTCGAGCATTTTGACGGACTTAGTTACAGCATCTTGCAGCCTTGCTTTGCAGCACTTCACCCTCGTTGCCGATTGTGTTTGATTTTCGATTCTCATTTATTTTCAAAATTTTCAACGCAAACTGGGAAATGGATTGAATCGGATCGATCGATATGTCTCGTCTGACTAATCCATCGAGGTTGAATTCGTTTCTATATTTTTCGATTAAATCCGATTGATCGATCGATCGGATCCGATCATATATATATAAGATTCTAGGAGAAACACAAAAATTGATACGATCCCTTGTGTTGGGATTCACAAGAAATACGTTCTTGTAGGAATAGAGTCTACCCAATGACATTTAGAACCTTTACCATTCAATGAAACGATTAAGACGTTCGGCATTCAAGATTAGAGGTCATATTGTCGTACCGTGCTCGTACGTCTCCAGCCTGAAGGAGACTTCAGGAACAGTTCTCTTGCAGCAGGAGTCCTGCTAAGAAGTTTGCTGTTACGAAGTGTTCTTCGTACTATTCTTCCAATACATAAGAGGGGCCTAAGGAGGAGGAAAGTGACGGCTCTTATTGTGCGCAGACAGCGCGGGTATTGTAGAGCTGCTCTGCACAGCTCTACGGGACGCCATCATGAAATTGTCAGCAGAAGCACCTCCCCTTTATTCTGTGAAGCATTGCGTTTATCGCCGAACACCAGCACCAGAGACCCCAGGAACACACCCAAGAACGACGTCACCGAATAATCCTGCAGCAAGCCCACTGCAGATTTCCGGTGGTAAAGTCACCGAGCATATATCCGACAGTGTCGGCGACACGCTTATGACGCTGCCGCCATGTCGTGCCAGCACATCTGCCTGCTCGTTGTTGAACACCACCCTGCTCATCGAAGTGCCCGTGAGCTTTTACGTCCCGTTGTGGCGCTTTCCATGGCGCGCCGAACATGTACACGTAGTCCATCAAGAGTCTGGATGGGCGACTTGTACATGTACTTGATTCAAGACCATTGCCGCGCTGTCCTACGTGGTATGCACCACCGCCTGCCATTTCACCGCCCAAAGAACACGCCCCTCAAGCTCAAGGCCAAGTGTGATACCTCTGCCTGGCAGTGTCCGCCAACACATCACAGCATTGGCCAGCCACTACTGGGGCCGAACTTCCCTTCGTTGAGGTTGCAATTTTGCGCCATGACCTTCGTGTGATTGAAGTTTTTATACTTGCAATTTGTATTGGTTGATTCGATCCAATCGATCGGATCCGATCGGATTGGATCGGTAGTTGCACCTGTACCTAATTCCTGTCGAGAAGCTACCTCCTTGGGACAGACCGTGGCTGCACTCCGAACACTAATGAACCG